ATAAAAACCTAAAACAGGAGTCTGTATCTTCTCACCTGTTTTAGGGGCCTGGGGAGGCCTTGGTTCTGGATCACTGAGGGTTCTGGGGGTCACGTAGCGTATTGATGTCTCTTCCAGATACTTGTCTACAAGATCAGGGCACACTGCAGGGGAAGAAGGCGCCATTCAGGAGAAGACACCCCTCCCTTCTCCCAGTCCACACCTCCCCCAGGCTCTATAACTTGCTCTCCTTGGTACTCCCAGGGCCGATGCTTCCTCCCCCTCGGACACCTCTGCAGCTCATGCCTGGCCTCCCACACCCTTCCTCCTCCAGAGTCACCGGTCCCTGTATGCTCTCACCAGCACGTCTCCTCTTGAGGGTGACATAGGGCAGCAGGTCGTGGCGAGTGATGATGCGCAGCAGCTGCAGCACCTGGCGAAAGTTACTCTCATCACAGCGGCCCTGGCGCTCCAGAGCCAACAAGAAGTCACGTCCATTTCGGATGAGTCCACGCTCATGGTCGTCGATGACATCAACAAACAGGAAGGAAAGCACGCGCACATCTCGGTGTGTCAGGTGGGTGCCCACGATGTCAAACATGCGGTGCAGGCTATACAGCCCATGCTCCTGCTCGCCATGCTCTTCTGGCCACACCTGGCTTGCCCGCCGCTTTAGGCCCGCCATACTGGGGGCTCAGGGACGCGATGCTTCCCAGAATCCCTGCTCAGCGGTTCCAACCTCCACTATACTGTAAGGGCAGGGAAAGAACCTGTGAGCCTCTCAACAGCAGGAACTAGTCATGCATTCGTATATTCCCAGCACCTGACACACTACCTGGACTGTGTTATAGTTTTATTGGGGTTTTTTTTGCAATGCTTTTTTGCCACAGGACATGTGAGCTCACTGAAGAGGGAGAGAAATCATCCCCTATGGGGGATGGCCACGCCACAGTCCCTTCTCCTCCATTCTCTTCTTGGAATTTTGGGCATATGTGCACATGCACCCTGTGTGTTTTCCCAGCTGTCAGGTTTGGGACTCGAATAGCAGAGTTGGTCATGTCGGATCCAGCACCTTAACCAGCATGCCACATGCTCACACCAGTTCTTAGTACATGTCTATTAAAATCTTTTTTAATTCTTTATTATTATTATTATTATTTTAGTTTGCTATAGGGCATGTGTGCTCACCAGAGAGAGACAGAGAGAGGGAGAGTGACAATAAGAAAGCAAGCTGGGGCCAGCAGATGGCATGGTGGTTAAAGGTGCTGGATTCCCACATGGCAACCATGCTTCAAGTCCTGGACTTGGTGGCTTGCTTTCTCACTCCCCTAACCCCCTGTCTCTGTCTGGTCAAATTAAAAAAGAAGAAGAATGGAAATAAATAAGTAAGTCTTTGAAAAAAAAAAGAAAAGAAAAGAAAAGAAAGAAAAGAAAAAGCAAGCTGCCAGGTCCAGACTTGAACCATGATCAGCCACATGGGAGTACAACACCATAACCACCACACCATCTGGGGGCCCCATATATTTACTAAATTTAATAAGTGTTTATTGATCCAGTCACAGTAGCACAAGCAATAGAGCACCACTGAAGCCACAAAGAAGGATCGGGTTTGTTTCACTTCCTGGACCAACCTAAACACATGGGGCACCTGTAATCTTAGCTAACTGGGAGGGAGGGAGGGATAGGAGGAGGAAAGAAGGGGGGGGGGAGGAAGATTGAGCCATGGTGAACCTTGTCACCAAAAAAAAAGCCCTGGGACCAGCAGTTAGTGTAATGGCTATGTCGCTGGACTCCCATGTAGTCAACCGCGGTTTGCGTCCTGGACCCGGTGGCTTAAAACTCACGCCGGGCGCGTGTGCGTGCGTGCCCAGGATCCTGAGAAGAGAATGGAGGAGAAGGGACTGCGACATAGCCGTCCCCCACCGGGGGCGGTGATTTCTCTCTGTCTCTGTCTGTCTGGCGAGTGCACGCACCCTATAGCAAAAACCTCTCAAAAAGAAATAAAGAAATGAAGTAATAAAAGCTCTCATTTAAAGACACACCAGTGGGACCTGGTGGGTGTTTTGATAGTTGAGGTGCTGGACTCCTACATTGCCAACCACAGTTCCAATCCTGGATCTGTAGGCTTGCTTTTCCACTTTTCCCTCTCTCTGTCTCTGGATAAATTAAAAAATAACAAATAAAATAAATCTTTAATAAAAAGACACACCAAGAAGTGTTTATTAAAAAATAGACTGGGGGGGACCAGCAGTTGGGGTAGTGGCTGTGTCACCGGACTCCCATGTAGTCGACTGCAATTCGAGTCCCGGACCTGGTGGCTTAAACTCACACCAGGTGCCTGTGTGTGCGTGCCCAAGTTCCCAAGAGGAGAATGGAGAAGGGATTGCAGAATGGCCATCCCCCCAGGAGATGATTTCTGGCTTTCTGTCTCTCTGTCTCTCTCTGTCTTTCTGGCAAGCATATATGGTTTGAGTCTCGGACCCGGTGGCTTAAACTCACACCAGGAGAATGAAGAAGGGACTGCAGTGTGGCCAACCCCCCTGGGAGGTGATTTCTCGCTTTCTGTCTCTGTCTTTCTGGCAATGGCACACACCCTATAGCAAAAACCTCTCCAAAAAAGAAAGAAAAAAAGGAATTTACCCTTATTTTGGGGCTGGTAGGTGGCGTGGTGGTTAAGGGTGTTTGACTCCCACATGGCTGACTATGGTTTGAGTCCCAGATCTGGAGGTTTGCTTTGTCACTTCCCTCTCACCCCCCTCTCTTGCTCTGTCCTTCTCTGGTCAAATTTTTAAAAAAATAATAAAGTTAAATAATTTTTCTTAAAGAATGAAATTTATCATTATTTTTAAAAATTATTTGTTTGTTCATTCATTCATTTACTTCAGTTTGACACCAGAGAGTAACACACACACACACACACACACACACACACACAGAGAGAGAGAGCGCGAGCCACCAGATCTAGGATTTGAACTGTGGTCAGCCATGTGATAGTGTCCAGTGACCTAAACACTACACCACCTGCTGGCCTCAACCCTTTTTTTTAAAAATTTTTGCCAGAGGTTGATCGCACATACCAGTAAAAGACAGAAAGACAGAGAAAAAGAGGGAAAGGAAGGAGGGACCCCGCCCCCATGAGGGACAGTCATGCCACAGTCCCTTCTCTATTTCCCCTTTTGGGATTTCAGGCATGCACACACAGGTGCCCAGCATGTTTCTCAAGCTACCAGGTCAGCTGTGGGATCCAGTTGCTCTAACCACAAAGCACGGAGCCAGCTCTAGAAATTCACTCTTAATGTGATACAGAAACTGCATCAGATGAGCTTATGGACTGACAAGAAGACAACTGAACATCTTTAGAGTTGAAACTAGTTTAAATTCTGGCTACGTTATTAACAAGCTATGTAGCTGTGTTACTTTAAACAAGTCACTTAGCTTCAGGTGCCCTCAGTGCCCGCCTCTGTAAAGCAGGAAT